TCACGCCGAGCAGCAGGAAATGGACCTGTTCGAAGAACGCAACAACAAAAGGCATCATCAACCAGTCGTTCTTTACACCAATCGACGACAGCCACGCTACCAAAATCGAGGACACGTACCTCCTTATTGTCATCTTTGTCGGACTTCAGGACACACACGCTTCAACTGCCCTCAGCAACAACGACAACCAGCACCATTCTCTCGTCCTCTGCGACCAGTGCCTCCCCACATCGCGTCAACTCAACAACGACCCGCTACCGCCTCAACGACTACTTCAACGCGACCGTCAACTTCCACTTCGGGACCTGCACAGACACCAAGAATCGTCGCCATGGCACGAACAACAGAGTCAAACATCGACTCGTGCATTACCGGCTCTCCACCGACTTACAGTCCTGATGAGCAACCGTCACCACCACCGTCGTCCCTTAACGTGAATCCAACGTACGCCGCCATCGCGAACCGTGCACCCACCGGACCAGACACATGGTTCCTTGACAGTTGTTGCGGTCATCACATGTGCTCTTCATCACGATTTCTTCAGCGCGAACGACGTCTTCCGCGAGACGTCATCATCACCATCGCCAACAACGAAAACCTGCGCACCAACAAACAAGGAGTCGTGGAGCTTCAGTCAAACGAAACAAACGTTATTCTTCAATTAAACAAAGTACTCGTCGTCGACAACCTCGCCTTTAACTTACTGAGCGTCAGCCAACTCATGTCGAAAGGCGTTCACCTGGAGTGCGACTCCGACGCCCTGGAAATCCGTCTTTACCACGGAAAAGGGGGGGTCTTCATCGGCCGTGCAATCCAACAAGATGACGTGTTCGTCCTCGACTTCGTCCCCGACAAAGGCACCGCAGACAGCGAGGGCATAGTCGCTCTCGCACCTTGGACGCATCCGCCAGACCTCGACCCGAACTTCAGTCCTGAAGGCTTCTGGTACTCTCGTACCATTCCCGAAGCTGAACGCACCAACGCGCTTGCCGTCCTGCAAACACAAGCCACAACACCTGAGTCAGCACCCGTCATCGAAACAACAACTGCACCCGTCACAACACCAACAACCACCGAACCTGCAATTGAAGAACCAACCGTCGTCGCGGAACAACCTTCCGAAACTCCACAGCTCGGTCCCTCCGTCGCACCTCCACCTCTCATCATCGACACGCCACCGACAGCCGCCCAACAGTTAACGCCAGCACCACGCGCCGTTCATCGAAGTGCAGCAACACACGCCGCCTTCTTCGCTAACGCAGACTTCTATCGACGCTCCGTAGGTCACAGCGCCTCCGAAGACATCTAGCATCAACGTCTTGGACATCGTGGAAACACAACACTCTACAATACAATACGAGCCGGAGTGTTAGACAAGAACGCCCTACTTCTTCCCAACGGACGTGAACTCGAACGACCACGCGGCACCTGCTTCATCTGCCCGGAAGCAGATCTGCCTCACCAACCGTTCCCGTCACACCACAATCCGAGCGCCCCCGCTTATCAACCACTCGAGAAAGTCTACAGCGACATACTATACATACCTCGAACTGAAGGACGTGAAGATCTGAACTACGTCATCACCTTCATCGACGCCGCAACGCGATATGTCTGGCACGTCAACTTACCGTCACGAGACATGGCTCTAGAAGCCTTCACAGCCTGGCTACCTGTCGCTGAAAGAGAGTCAGGAGCGAAACTGAAGAGTTTTCAGTCAGATGGCGCAAAGGAGTACCAGTCAAACAGCTTCACACAGTTCTTGGCAGAAAGAGGCATCAAACGCCTCATCTCTCTTCCTTACGCTCACCAACAGCAGGGTGTGGCAGAAAGGATGAACAGGACCCTGCAGACAACCATGCGAAAACTGCTACGTGGAACTCGACTGCCCAACTCAGAATGGCCAGCAGCGATGGACCACGCTGTCCTCCTGCACAACTTGTTGTCCTCGTCTTCACTGCCCAACAACGCATCTCCGCACCTGTTGTGGACTGGGAAGCTGGGCAACACAAAAATGTTACGAGTTTTTGGGTGTATGGTACAGTACCGCCCACACACTGCACGCGCAGGGAGATTCTCGCAACGTGCACAGTGGGGTCTACACCTCGGGCTGGCAAAATATTACGAAGCATGGCGAATCTTCGACGTCCACACAAAGGAAACAGTAGCAGCACGTGACGTTATCTTCTACGAGCGACTCACCCTCAACCATTACCTGGACAACATCGCACGCCACGTCGACCCCACCGGCGGATTTTCTGGTTCCCGAGCCTTCGCTTCACCCTCCGATGCTGCTGACTGGGAAGAAGAGAACGTCGACGGCGCCTCCGAAGCTGCTGGACCCCTTCCTTACTGCTCCGTCCCAATCCCCATGGACGAGGAAAACCCTCGCGACAGTAACAATGCCGACGCCTACTACCATTTCGCCGACAATGGTTACGTAACACCCCAACCCGTCAACACCGACATCTCTGAAAGATACGGCCCCGGATTCGCACCTGATCCTGAAGCGGGAGACGAAGCAGTCTATCCCGAGGACCCTTTGCTGAATCGTCACACCCCCAGCGGACTCCAAGTCCTGGGACTCGTCGCTGCAGTGCACGGGCCTTCGTCGCCACCTGAAGAGCCTCGCTCTGTCAAGCAGGCTCTGGGGGGGGAACACAAAGAAAAATGGCGCGAAGCCATGGAAAAGGAGTTAAAAGCGCTCTCAGACCGCAACACCTGGAAGATCGGCCCTGCATCACTCGCACAAGACAAACCCATTCTCTCCGGAAAATGGGTATTCCGGATCAAAACCAACTCCGACGGAACCATCGAACGGTTTAAAGCTCGATGGGTCGTCCGCGGATTCGACCAAGAGTATGGTCGCGATTTCACTGAAACCTTCGCACCAGTCAGTCGACATACTTCCCTGCGCATACTCCTCGCCATCGCCGCCTCACGCCGCCGCCCACTCCGACAAATCGATGTCGCCAACGCCTTTCTATACGCCCCAGTCGACGCTGAAATCTTCGTCGAACAGCCCCACGGGTTCGTCGACGACCCTTCCCTCGTCTGCCAACTACTTAAATCACTATACGGAATTAAGCAGGCACCGCGACTCTGGCAGCAGTACCTGCACGCACGACTCAAACGCATCGGATTCAACCAATTGCCCCATGACCAGGGCATGTATCGTCTCACTCGCGACAACGACTACGTTCTGCTAATCGTCTACGTGGACGATTTGCTTTACATCGGGTCAACTACCACCATCGTCACCTGGTTCGAAAAGGAGCTTTAGACAGATCTCTCCCTCACAGTCTCACCCAACGTCACGCAGTATCTAGGGCTCAACATCCTCGATGAAGACAACACTATTCGTCTCAGCGCCTCAAAATACGCAAGCACTATCGCCGAACGCTTCTGCATCACACCGACGCACGTCGCAACACCCTACAGTCACCTATCGCTCGATCCAACCGAAGAAACCAACCCACTGCCGCCTGCTGAAATCCAGGAATATCAACAGAAACTGGGCTGCCTACTCTTTGCCGCCGTTACGTGCCGACCGGACTTATCCTACAGCGCCAGTCAACTAGCGACCTACCTCAAGCGCCCAGAACAACGTCACCTCAAGGAACTCAACCGCGCCCTTCTCTACTTCATCTCGACGCCAACAGTTGGCTTAACATATCACAAGAACACGACGACCGACCTAAAACTACTCGGCTACGTCGACGCTGATCATGCTGCTGATCGTGTCGATCGTCGCTCTCGCACCGGCTACATCTACCGTCTTGAGCCCGTCGGAACTATCTCCTGGCAATCAAGTAAGCAGGAACTCGTCGCACTATCATCTGCTGAAGCAGAGTATATTGCTCTCTGCACTGCTACCAAGGAGGGCCTGTACCTGCGCGAACTGCTGGAAGAAGCGAAAATTGCGAAAGTACCCAGCTTCTCGCTTTTCTGCGACAACCAGTCCGCGATACGGATCGCGAACAAGAATGGCTTCGCCAATAGAACCAAGCATATCGCACTGCGATACTTCTTCGTGAAAGACGAAATTGAGAAAGGAAAACTCCAGCTGGATTACTGCCCGACCACCGAGATGGCAGCAGATTATCTCACCAAGAAGCTACCAAAGGGGAAATTCGAGTACTGCATGCTGCTCACCGGATTGGACCACGTCACCGAAGCTGACCACGTCGACACTCCAGAAACGAAGGGGAGTGTTGGGAAAATAAACGCATGACTTAGTGCGTTTCTGTAGTATCGAACCTCACCCGATACTGAAGCACAACAAAAGGAGTCCGAAGTCGAAAAGGCGCGTACCACATCAAACCGCAACTGGAGGTTGCGAGCTGTAACCGCCTGGAGGTTACGTAACAGCAAGCGACGCTTCAGTGAACAGTAACCACCTCGATAGTCGAAGCGTTACGCGTCTCGATAAACATAACCGCTTCTTGTAATCTATCCTTTCTATATATTCCTGGATGCCCTTTGCTTTAATCAATTACTTGTTCTCACATACCAGCACAAGTACATTCACTCAAGACTTCCGCTGTGCTACTCTAGCACCTACTAGCCTATTCTCTGCAAAGATCCTAAGGCTGAAATTCTCAGCCCAACAGTGGGGTAGCCTATATGGGGTACAACCCAATTAGGGTTAGTACTTGTACCCAACTCTTTCATACTGCATTCATTCTCGTTCATTCTCACATGGTTTCATAGGCTGAAATTTCAGACAACTCATAAAAAAACCTCTGAAAAATCAGACAAGGTACAGAAAAATAATCTTAGACTTCAGACTAGGTAAAAAAAAAAAGTCTGAACGGACTCTGAATCAGACTTTGAAGTCTGATATCTAGGGCCCTGACCGAATGAATGGATGTACAATCTGTCACCAACACATCTCTGCATGGCACTACAGTAGGCCTTACTGTACCATGCTGGAATAAATTAGTGCTTATTCTTCTTTTCACAACCCCCATGATCCACTCAGCTCCTCCGTATGCGCCCTGCTACAGCCACTCTCGCCGGGACATCATCTTTTTGCGCGACCGCGGCTTGGGTGGCACCGCTGCACCCATGCCGCCACCCGCTGCACCCATGCCGCCACCCGCTGCACCCATGCCGCCACTTGCTGCCATGCCTGTGTCATGAGCTGGAGTGGCTTCGCCCGCAACCCCTGCCACTGTGGACTGGACTTCCACACTATCCGCCGCACCCGTGGCATTGGCAGGGCAAGCAGCAGCACAGCACGGTGGCGGGTGCGAGGCCGCATTGAGGGTGGCATGCACTGCTTGCGGTGCAGCACAGCCTGAAAGCGCAGGATGGGGTGTGCGTATGGCACAGCCTTTTGTTCCATGCGGGGTGGGTTGAGCTTGTGTGGCGCCATGCGGTGTGGCGCCATGCGGTGTGGCGCCATGCGGTGTGGCGCCATGCGGTGTGGCGCCATGCGGTGTGGCGCCATGCGGTGCTGCACACACCGACCTGTGCGAGGGTGCAGAGGGGGCAGAGAAGTGTGTGGAGAAGAGGCACGTTATCTCCTCCACTGCCCTCTCCTCTGCTGCCCCCACACCCTCTGACTTCAGTGTGGGAGGATGAGCGGAGGGTGGTGCAGCAGGGGATGAGGGCGGGGCACAGGGCCGTGTGGCAGCAGCGGGGTGGGGCGAGATGGGTGCCTGGAACGGGGGGTTGGACAGGAGGTGCGCATGGGCGAGGGGGGGATGCGGAGAGGGTGTTGCGTCGTGGGGGAAGGGAGGAAAGCGGCCCTTTGGCTGTGGTGAGGGAGATTTGGGCGGCAGGTGAGGCGAGTGGGCGTGAGGAGATGCGGCAGCAGGAGCAGTGGGGTCGATGGGGTGTGTACCGGTGCCCCTCCTCCCCCGCTCACTGCCACCACTCGCCTGCCCTGCCGTCGTGCCATGAGGGGGGACAGCAGCATGGTGCAGCGGCGGCCACAGCTGCGCCATGGCATCCACATCCAAGCTGCGACTCCGCTCGTGCCCCTGCCCTCCCTCGCCTCTCCCAGCCACTCCCTCTCGTCCTCCCCATTCCCAACCTCCCCCCGCTTTAGCCCCTCCATTACCTTCCCTCTGTTCAACCCCCTCCCCTCTCCTGCCCCCAGCACCCTCTTCCCCTGCTCGCTCTCCTCCTTTCCCACTGCCACCCCGCACACATCTGTCCCTGTTGCCTTCTGCTGCCCCCCCTCGCCACCTGCTGGTGGCAGCATGCCCCGCGCTGTGAGGCGTGCGGCCATAAGGGGAGAACAGCCCGCCCTGCAGCGCCTGCACGCACGCCTGCACGGCCTGCTGCTGCCTCCGCCTGCTCTCCTCAAACTGCTGCCGCGCGCCGCCGCTCAGCCCCGACGCCACGCCACTGCTGCCGTCCATGCTGTGACTCACTCGGTGCCCCGCTGCCCTTGCCGCCCAGGGCACGTGCAGGGGGGTGCCTGCAGCGGGGGTGGGGGAGTCTGCCGCGGCAAATGGTGAGAAGCGAGGGAAGGACGGCACAGTGGGCCCTCGTGGGGTGGCTGCCCCACACGGGGTGGCGTCAGTGGGGGGAGCGCTGGGAGCCGCGTGCAGTGTGGGTGGCGGTGGGACGCACACGAGGGCATGAGTGGTGGTGGGGTGAGAGGAGACGGAGCATGGGGGAGCAGGGGCACCTGCGGGGTGAGTGGGCGTGCAGGCAGGAGGCGCATGGACGGTGTCAGGGAGTTCACCACACACCGCATCCCCTTGTGCCCCCACACGCTGCTGAGCGTGCTGAGATTGCTGGGACGCATGGCCATGCGCACCGGAGGTGGCAACTGGCACACAGGCGTCGCCCCCATCAACATCGGCAGCAGCAGCAGCGGAGGCACCCCACCCTGACCCCCCCCCTGCTCTACGCTCACAGCCGGCCCCGCTGCTCGCATCCTCGCTGCCCTGCGCCCTGCCCTCATCCGCCTGTGCGCCCCTCCCTTGCACTGCCCCGCCCATGTGCCTGCCAGCCCCATCCTCGCCCATGTGCCTGCCAGCCCCATCCTCGCCCATGTGCCTGCCAGCCCCATCCTCTTCCATGCTGCTGCCTCCACCACTATCCCCCCCACATGCACCAGGCGCAGCAGTGGCGTGGGGGGGGGCAGAGGAGGCGGGGGAGGTGGAGGAGGAGCTCCACGGAGGACTGCTCACTGAATTACCCGCTGCTGCTGTCGATGCCGCTGCCACTGCTCCCCCTCCCTCACCCAGCCCCACTGCAGTAGCTGCAAGTGCACGCGGGACCACGCTGCCATCATGTCGTGTGCGGCGGTGCAGGCTGGCAGCAGCAGCAAGCAGCGAGTGGCAGCGCGGCAGCACCTCCTGCAGCGCCGCCCACTGCAGCGCTGGCAGCACGGAGCAGCTCCGCTCCACGGCGCGCAGCAGCGACGCCGCTGAGTGCAGCAGCTGCCGTGGGGGCCATGGGGGGTGGGTGGGGGGAGTGCGGGGAGTAAATGGTTGCATGAGGAGGGGGGTGATTGTGTGAGAAAACGTGAGGAAGAACCATTGAGTTGATTATGATAGATGGGGGTATACATAGTAGTGCTAAGGGGGGGGGGTGGTTGGTTGGAACCAAGCCAACATTATTGGCCCCCACCAATAAGTTGGGTTGGGGGATTATTGGGGGACCAATAATGTTGACCAAGTGGTTCAACATTATTGGGGGGACCAATAATTCCCAACCCAACCTTGGGGGCCAAGGTTTGAGTTCCAACCCCCAACTAGGGTTAGCCCTAGTTCTACACCCAAACTAAGTTTGGGTGGCTATCTCTAACCTAAGCTTATAGGATTGATGTAGGTTACAATGAGGATGGCAATCTGACACAACCCCTTAACCTACAGAAATCCATAAGCTTGGGAAGAGAGAGAGCAACAACCCCTGAATCAGCCACCGCGGGGAGCAAGTCCCTGGAGACGCAGAAGCGCAGAGTGGTCAGAGCGGTGGAGAGCCTTGGTGAAGAGATCGGCGAGGTTGTCGGAGGAGGCGATTTTGCGAACGGTGATGTGACCATCTTGGACAAGGTCGCGAACAAAGTAGTAGCGAAGCTCGATGTGTTTGGAGCGACCATGAAAGACTGCTTCCTTGGTGAGGTGGATGGTACTGTCGTTGTCACACCACAGGGTGGGGCGGGGCTGTGGAGAGCCAAGGTCGGTGAGCAGATAGCTGAGCCAGCGTGCCTCTTGAGCCGCCATCGTGACTGCGTATAGTTCGGCTTCGCAGGATGAGAGGGCAACGGAGGAGGAGCGGGTGGAGCGCCAGCTGATGAGGCTGTTCCCGAGTGTGACGCCATATCCTTGAGAGCTGCGACGGTCGGGCTGTGCGTCGACCCAAGATGAGTCGCTGAAGCCTTGAAGAATGGGCGGGGTCACACCACCAAAAGTGAGGACATGGTCCTTCGTGCCCTGAAGGTAGCAAAGAACACGCATGGCCGCCTTCCAATGCTCTTCACCATGCCTGCCGGTGCCAACGAACTGCGCCAGAACACTGATTGGGTATGCAAGGTCGGGACGAGTGCAGACCATGGCGTACACCAGGGCCCCAACAAGTTCTGCATAGGGATGAGGGGAGGTGACAGGAGTGGTGGGAGGGGAGAGTCGATGCTCGAATGCAAGTGGTGTGGGGATGGGTTTGCAGGTTTTCATGCCAAACCTCTCAAGAATCTTCTCGATGTAAAAAGACTAAGAGAGGGTGATGGTCTTGGCAATGAGGTCGCGAGTGATCTCCATGCCGAGGTAGTTGCGAACCTCCCCCAGGTCTTTGCAGGCGAGGCGTTTCTGCAGCTCATCCTTGACCTTCTGGGGTTCAGCAGCTGTGTCAGCGGCCAGCAACATGTCGTCGACGTAGACGAGGATGAAGAAGGGTGATGGGGTGAGGCGCAGGAAGAGGCAGGAGGCAGCCCGGGAAGGGCGAAAGCCAAGTGCGCAAAGGGTGGAGGAGAGTTTGGCGTGCCATTCCCTAGGTGCTTGTTTGAGCCCGTGGACAGGGCGTAGCAGCTTCCAAACAGTGGTAGGGTCGTGAGGAGCGTAGAAGCCTTTGGGATGTTCCAGAAAAATGAGCTCATGAAGGTCGCCTTGCAGAAAGGCGGTGGTGACGTCCATGGAGTTAAGAATCATCCCGCGTCTGCCAACAAAGTCCAAAAACAAGCGAATGACCGGTGGAGTGGCGGTGGGTGAGTAGGTCTCGAAGAAGTCTAAGCCATAGGCATGTGTGAAGCCTTTTGCCACATATCGAGCTTTGTAGACCGGAGCGTCGCCAGGGAGTAGTTTTACTCGGAAAACCACCTGCCTTTGACCACGTTGTGTTTAGAGGGACGAAGAACGTCGAGAAACGAGCGGTTGCTGATAAAGGCGTTGCTCTCCTTGACCATGGCCTCGATCCAGAGAGGTGCATCAAGACAGGCAAGTGCTTGCTCATAGGTGGTGGGTTCGTAGATGGTGGGGGTGGTGGAGAAGAGAAGGACAGTAGTGCCAACCATTGTGCGGACGACGGGGGCGATGGTGGGTGAGAGGAGGTGGAGGAAAAGAAGCTCATCGTGAGAGTCTTCAGAGAGGTCCGGAGTGAGAGGAGGAAGAGGAGGCGGTGGAGTTGCAAGACAGCTGCGTTGGAGGGTCGGGCTGATGCGGGGACACAGCTGCACCGATGCTCTGCTGCGCTGAGGGTCGAGGCGGGGAGACAGCTGCATTGCAACTCGGCTTCGCTGAGTTGCCGTGAGGGGCAGGGAGATGGGAGCGTGACTGCTGAGAGAACCTGAGGTGCTGGTGCAGGGGGGAGGGGAGGTGCTATGGTGGCGGAGAAGGGGGATGGATGTGAGAGACTGGAGGGAGGGGGGGGTGGACCTAGGAGTACCAAAAATGGGGACCGTGGAGCGGGTGTGAGGGTAGTGGCGGAGTATGAGAGGGGGAGTGCGAAGTAGGGGCCGGGAGGATGGAGGTGGAGTGAGTGGGGGAGGGCGTGGGGAGGGGGGAGGTGGGTGATGTTGTGCATGGAGGGAGGGAGGGGAAGGAGGGGGAGGGGGTGGGGAGGGATGGGGAGGGGCAGCGGGAGGGGAGGGAGGGGGAGGGGCAGCGGGTGGGGAGGAAGGGGGAGGGGCAGCGGGTGGGGAGGGAGGGGGAGGGGCAGCGGGTGGGGAGGGAGGGGGAGGGGCAGCAGGTGGGGACGGAGGGTGGACGGGGTCAAGGATGTCTCCTGATGAGGGGGGGGGAGAGGGGGGAGGGGATGGGGGTGCAGGGGGGACAATGGTAGGGGGGGGAGAAGGAAAGGGGAGGGGAGAGGGGGTGGAGGGGGAATGGTGTCAGTCCAGAGGAAGGGACGGGTGGTTAGAGGGAGGGGGTTAGGGACTTTGGGGGAGGTGTAGTACGGGTGTGCTTCATCAAATTCCACATCCCGACTACGAATAAGGCGACCTGAGGGGGGATGGAGGAAGAGATAGTCCGGGGAGGAGGTGTTTTGACCAAGGAAAATGCAGGGGAGAGTGCGGGAGGCTAGCTTCCCAGCTTTGCGTGAGTGGTCGACAAGGTGTATGAGAACATACACCATGGAACCCCACACGCGCAGGGAGGTGATGTCGGGCTTTTTGGATGTCTAGAGTGCGGTGGGAGTGGTGGTGGGCCGGGAGGGATGAGGGTACAAGTTAGTGATGATGGCAGCGTGGAGGATGGCATAGCCCCAAAGAGAGGGCGGGCAGGAGGCATGGACCATGAGGCACCGAGCAGTCTTGGTGACCTCACGGACCCTACTTTCCGCCATGTCATTCTGCTGAGGGGAATGAGGTAGGGTGTAGGTGTGAATAATGCCACGAGTGGTGCAGTAGGATGAGAGCATGTTGTTAAGGAACTCAGCACCACCATCAAAGTGGAAGCGCGAGACAGGGCGTTTGAAATGGGCGCGTGCTTGTTCAACCCAGGCAATAATAGCAGCAGGGGCCTCCGCCTTCGTGCGAAGGAGGGAGACGGAGGAGTAGTGGCTGTGGTCATCCACCAGGATGAACAGGTATTTGTGACCTTGCCTGGTGGGGGAAGGGTTGGGGCCCCAGAGGTCCATGTGGACGAGATCAAGAGGCTGAGGAGAAAAGGAGGGATGACTCTTGTGGGGGGGCTGTTTCAGTTTGCTTTCAACGCATACTGAGCAGGGAGGGGAGGGTGATGGGGGGAGAGGGGGAAGGGTGAGGGGGAGTCCATCGAGGAGTTGGGTGGAGACAGTTTGACGGAGGGTGGCTAAGTTGGGATGACCCAACCTATGGTGAAGGAGAACTGCGGGGTGGGTGAGGTCACGACAGTGACAGGAGGAGGTGGGGGAGGGGGGAGGGGGGGGGGGGGGGGGGAGGGGAGAGGGGGGGGGGGGGGGAGGGGATGGGGGAGGGGATGGGAGGAGGGGAGGGAAGGGGGAGGGGAGGTGAGGGGAGGGGAAGGGGTGAGGTGGGGGCGATGAGGTGGTGAGTGGAGGTGCGAGGGGTGCGGTACGTGTACAGGTTTGTGTGGGGGCAGAGGGGAATGCGACAGATGAAGCGACCAGTGGTGGTGTGAAAGAGGTCGCAGTGGCGTGCATGACCGGGGAAGAGGGCGATGATACCGAACCAGGTGAGGTCACACAGTGCCACCAGATTGTTGCGTAGGGAGGGGATGTATAGACCTGTGACTCTACCTAAGGGGAAGATGGGACAGGGGAGGGTGGAGGTGTGTCGACTTGTGATGGTGAAGCTGGAGTCAGCTCCGTGGATAGTGGAGGGAGTGGGGAGGGGTACCAGCGTGCCTGCATCGCGCAGAACAGTGTGTGTCGCTCCACTGTCAAGGATAAACTCAAGGCATGAGGAGGAGGAGGAAAAGGCGGAGTACTAGAAGAGAGACTCATTAATAGCATGGGCATACAGAGAATCAGCACGAGCAGTGCTAACATGTCCTATGAATCCAGCAGAGGGGAACGGAGTAAAGCCAGGAGGGTTGGAGGAGGAGGAGGGCTATTCAGCAAGATTAGCAACAGGACCAATAGGTCCAGGACCATATCCAGGAGGTGGGTAAGGAGGATAAGGCCAGCCAGCATAAGGTGGAGGGTAGTGAGGGGGAGGGGCTTGAAGCGGAGGTGTGGGTGGAGGAGGAGTGGGAGTGGGGGTGGATGAGGGGAGAAGATGCTTGACTTGCTGGAGGATGTGAGATGGAAGATGTTGAGTGAGGACATTGTGGAGGTTGGGGGTGGAGGGTTGATAGGCGGGGGGAGTGCGGATGTCATGGGGAGAGGGGCGTGGGAAAACAGTGTTCCAGCGAGGTGGGGTGCCAACATTGCCACGGTCAAACCATTCGTCAGTGAGGGCTTTGAAGCACGTGTCAATGGTATGAGTGGTCTGTGAGCATGGTTGGCCTTTGTTGGAGCCATAGCGAATGATGTACTGACACGGGGGAAGGGTGCCCGAAGGTGAGGGGTGTCCGCCACGCCCACCACGGCCACCGCCTCGCCCACCACCACGTCCTCCTCCTCGCCCACCACCACGTCCTCCTCCTCGCCCACCACCACGTCCACCTCCACCACTGCCAGTACCGCCGTGGCCGCCACCTCCGCCGCTGTTCTCGTTGCCTGTGGGGGCTTTGCGAGTCTGAACTGCATTGATAGAGGTGGAGTCACGTTGAAGGTCGGCTTCGCTATCAAGGAGCCACTCGATGGTGTCTGTCACAGGAGGAGGGCAGCGGTAGCGGGAGGTGAAGGTGATGCGGTATGTGTCATATGTGGGGGGGAGGCAGTCGAGAGTGCGTGCAGTGAGGAGAGACTCAGAGACGACAATGCCTCGATCGTTGAGGCGTCGTGCAGTATCAATGAGGCGGCGGGTGTAGGCAGCAGCAGTGGGAGAGGAGTCAAAGGTGGTGCCTTGGAACTTGCGAAAGAGGGCAAGGAGGGAGCGAAGATCCTGTCGATCGTACTGAGTAGAGAGGGTTTTCCAGAGGCCAGAGGAGGAGGTGGGACGGAGGTCGCGTTTGAGGTGTGAGGGGATGCAGGAGAAGATGATGGCGAGTGCGCGGCGATCCGCAACACGCCATGCTGCGACATCCTTGTGAAGTTTGCGTAGCTCCTCAGCATGATCGTTCTCATCTTTTTTGTATTGGAGGATGCGTGCAGCGGCGATACCATGTGCTTCCTCAACCACACGGTATGCTTCACGCTGGATGGTGTAGGTGTCACGTAGCTTATTGTAGTTGTTCAAGTTGGCCGCCCAGCGATCCGGGTAATAATCATGAACTGGAGGATTGGGGGGGGGGGGGGGGGGTCAATAGGTTCTGGAAGTGGAGGGGCATCGGGGGGGAGGGGGATCAAGAGGAGGAGAGGGTGGCAGGCCGTTAAAGGATTCAAGGACTACGTCAAGGAGACAGTAGTCTTGGATGATGACAGAGCCAAGGTAGGTGTGGAGTGTGTCCTCGAACGACGCCCAGTTCACAGCGGTGGTATCATGAAGGAGCTCGAGCTTGTCGATAGCTCCGAGCTCAATGGGAGTAGAGTCGTCCGCCATGAGGGGGAGGAGGGGGGAGGGGGTGACGACACCGGCTGGAGGGCGGGTGCGGTCAATCGGGGTGACAACACCACCTGGAGGGGTGGTGCGGTCGAAGGGCTGCGCCTAGCGTCGCTCACGGTTGCGCCTGATCGCGTTGCCCGCGGCTGCGCCTGGTCGCGTCGCCTGCGGTGGTCACCTCCGCTGGTCGCGTCCGCGGGGGTCGCCTCCGCTGGTCGCGTCCGCGTGGGTCGCCTCCGCTGGTCGCGTCCGCGGGGGTCGCCTCCGCTGGTCGCGTCCGCGGCGGTCGCCTCCGCTGGTCGCGTCCGCGGCGGTCGCCTCCGCTGGTCGCGTCCGCGGCGGTCGCCTCCGCTGGTCGCATCCGCGGCGGTCGCCTCCGTTGGTCGCGTCCGCAGCGGTCGCCCGCGTTCGTCGCGTCCGCAGCGGTCGCCCGCGTTCGTCGCGTCCGCGGCGGTCGCCCGTAAAACCCTAATCCGCGGCGGGCGCCCGCGTTTGTCGCGTTCGCGGCGGTCGCCCCCGATTAGGGTTTCGTCGGTCGCGGTAGTCGTTCCGACGGTTAGCGTGCTCGCGGGAGAGAGGGGAGGGCCGTAAGTGGCGGAATTAACCTTGGGAAGGGGAGAAGGGTGCTGAAATTTAGCGCGGGGAGGGGGGCCGTGATGGCGTAGGAGCGTACTTGGCGCTAAGAGCGACCTAGTTGTCGCGTAAGGGAGGGGGGCGTGTTAAGGCACGCGGAGGTGTGGTTCTTAGGATCGAAGAAGGTGTGAGCCGTGTTTGCTCTAATTACCATGTGAGTAAACGTGAGGAAGAACCATTGAGTTGATTAAGATAGATGAGGGTATACATAGTAGTGCTAAGGGGGGGGGTGTTGATTGGAACCAATCCAACATTATTGGCCCCCACCAATAAGTTGGGTTGAGGGATTATTGGGGGACCAATAATGTTGACCAAGTGGTTCAACATTATTGGGGGGACCAATAATTCCCAACCCAACCTTGGGGGCCAAGGTTTGAGTTCCAACCCCCAACTAGGGTTAGCCCTAATTCTACAGATTGGAGTGCGCATGGAGCATGAGGCATGAGAGAATGCTGTCGGGCGCCAGTGGAGTATGGGCGATGGAAGAGGCGAGCGTGGAAGAGAGAGACGTGGAAGGCAGCAAGCGGGTCACATGCGGCCACAGTGTCACATGCGGCCACAGTGCGGCGGCGCCATACCTGCGAGTGAGCATGGCGTGGCGATGCCGGCGGTGAGAGCAGCGAGTCAGCGACGCGGGGCAGGGCGGAGAGCAGCGAGGAGAAGAGCAGCAGGCGTAGCGGGCGAGGGGCGCGCGGGCAGGCGGCCTTGCGCATGCGGCGCAGCAGCCACACGGCCCAACGCACTGACAGGTCCCGCGATGAGGGGTGCCAGCTACAGGGGGCCATGGGGAGAGAGAGGGGTGGAGCGCAGGTGCAGCGGGGAGATGAGAGGCATGTGGGCGAGATGGGAGGCGTGCTGGCCAAGGTGGGCTCATGGCGGGCGACGTGGCATGTGACGTGATGGCATGTGACGTGATGGCATGTGACGTGATGGCATGTGACGTGATGGCAAGTGACGTGATGGCAAGTGACGTGATGGCATGTGACGTGATGGCATGTGACGTGATGGCATGTGACGTGATGGCATGTGACGTGATGGCATGTGAAGTGGTGGCATGTGACGTGATGGCATGTGACGTGATGGCATGTGACGTGATGGCATGTGAAGTGGTGGCATGTGAAGTGGTGGCATGTGAAGTGATGGCATGTGAAGTGATGGCATGTGACGTGATGGCATGTGACGTGATGGCATGTGACGTGATGGCATGTGACGTGATGGCATGTGACGTGATGGCATGTGACGTGATGGCATGTGACGTGATGGAATGTGACGTGATGGCATGTGAAGTGGTGGCATGTGAAGTGGTGGCATGTGAAGTGGTGGCATGTGAAGTGGTGGCATGTGAAGTGGTGGCATGTGAAGTGGTGGCATGTGAAGTGGTGGCATGTGAAGTGGTGGCATGTGAAGCGGTGGCATGTGAAGTGGTGGCATGTGAAGTGGTGGCATGTGAAGTGGTGGCATGTGAAGTGGTGGCATATGAAGTGGTGGAATGTGCGTAGCTGCATTCACTGATGCACTCGCTCATGTGGCTTCACTTGCCCATTCGCCCATTCGCCCATCCACCCATCCGCTCCTCACACCAGCACACTGCACCCATTTGCCATGCACCTTGCAACATGCACCACGCGTCATCCATCATACACCATCCACACCCTCACCCACCGGTGCAGGGCGAGCAGGTGGGCGGGGGCCACCTCAAAGGCGCGCTCCACCTCGCCCGCACTGCCATGCTGCCTCCGCGCACCCCCTCTCCCCTTCCACTTCCCTCCTCCCACCGCTGCCCCGCCATCCCCATGCCTCGCGCCTGCCTCTGCGAGCTGCCCTCCCCCAGCCCCCTCCAGTGCGCCCTCTGCCCGCCCGCTGCTCGCCTGCTGCTGCTGCACCGCCTTGCCCGCGCCCTCCCATGCCCCGCTGCCACCGCTGCTTGCAGCCTGTGCGCCCGGGGGGGGAAGTGGAGGTGAGGACGGGCATTGAGAGGCGGGCGATGGTGCGGTAAGAGGTGGGGATGGAGGGCCTTGTGGGGGCGTGCAGGGGGGTGCCGTGGGGAAGGGCGGCCTGCCTGCATGCGCTGCTTTTGCTTCTGCACTCACACCAGCCATGCCACACATCCCATCGCCACCCATGCTCTGCTCGCCCTCCTCACACCTCGCAGTCCTTTTCTCTTCAACCACCATCGCATCCGCCTCTCTTTCTTGCTCCCCATCCCTCTCGTGCGCCATCTCTTTCCCCTGCGCGCCTTTCCCCCCACCGCCTCCCCCATCCACGCCCTCCATGCACACGTCTCTCCCCGCACCCCCCTCAACCCCCCCTCCCTCCGCGCCCTCTGCGCCTCCCAGCGCCGCCACGGCAGCAGCCACGTCCAGCGACCCGCCCACCGCCCGCACGCCCCTTGCTGCGCCCACCCATGGCGGCGACCAGCACAGCACAGCGCCCACGCCCGCCATGCTCACCACGCTGTTGGCTGCCGCCAAGGCAGCGTGGCTGGGAGCAGTGGGCAGGTGACTGCCATCCACCTGCATTCCGCCCGCACTCGCACCGCTGCCTCCACCCACACCTTCCCCGCCTCGCCTCGCGCCACTGCCCTCCCACTCGCAACCTCCGCCACCACACCCCTCCTGGCCCCCTGCACACCCCTCCTGACCCCCTGCACACCCCTCCTGGCCCCCTGCACACCCCTCCTTGCCCCCTGCACACCCCTCCTTGCCGCCTGCGCCTGCCTCCCCAGCGCCCCCCAGTGCGGCCACAGCAGCCGACACGTCCAGCGCGTCCGACCGCCCGCGCCTGTGTGCCTGCCCCACGCCAAGGGAGGCCCTCCCCTTCCCCTTCCCCGCGCCGCCACACAGCGACCTCTGCCGCCGCCACTGCTGCAGCTGCTCGTGCACGCCCTGCCCCCCGCCCTGCTGCCTCTGCCTCTGCTCGTCACAACACCTTAACTCCACCACCATCTCCTCCCTTCTCCCTCCTCCTTTTTTCCCCTCCCCCTCCCCCTCCTCCGCCCCCTCCCCTTCCCCCTTCCGTCCCCCCTGCACCTGTGCCTTCATGCTCTGAGCCACGCCCCGCGCCGCCACGTCATCCACCTGCCACGTGTGGGCGCCCTGCCCCCGCAGCCGTGCGCGCGCCCTCCTGCCGCCGCACAGAAACGACTCCAGCGTCAGCCCATCCTCCCCCGATCCAAACACCGAACCTGACTGCCTGCTTCGGCGTTGCTCAGCCTCGGGCTTCCAAGCGGCGGGGCGGCGTCCCTGCTCCTGTGCCGTCACGCGGAACTCTACCTGCTGCGCCTCCGTCCCCGCCCCCTCTCGCTGCGCTTCCCCCCCCGCTTCTTCCTGTTGCCCGCCCCCCCTCCCATTCATGCCCTCGGACTCGCTCACACCTGCTTGCCGCTGCTCCGCGCCCATGCCAGCAGCGCCCATGCCAGCAGCGCCCGCCCTTCCACCGCTCGTGCTCTCGCCCCCGCCACTCGCCGCCACCCTGCTCGCATCCGCGCCTGGGAGCTGCACGCCCGCCCCGCTGCTGCCTCTCTCGCCGGCGCACGGCAGTGCAGCGCCCAGCCACTCCTGCAGCTCGCGCTCCAAGCTCGCTCCCCCTCCCCCCGCGTTCTCACCCACCCTGCCAGCACCGCTGCTGCTCTCTCCATGCCGCGCACCCTCACCAGTGCCCGCCGCCCTTCCGCCCTTCGCCTTCTTCTCCCTCCCCCTCCCCTCCTCCGCCTCCCCTTCTGCTACTACCTCCGCCCAATCCGCGCCCACGCTGCCCGCGCCGCTCTCATCGCCCCCCCACGACCCGTCCCTGCCTCGCCCTCGCATGCCCCGCTTCGCGCCGCTCACTTCCCTCGCCCGCGGCCCCCACAAGCCCCCTCGCCCTTCCGCCTCCCGTGCAAGCTCCCGCCATCCAGCCCCCGCGCTCGCCCCACCGCCCGTCGCAGGGCGCTGTCCTCCCCCTGCCGGTCCGCCTTCCTTCGCCGTCCCTGTCGCTCCGCTTCTCCCAGTGCCCCCGCGCACCGCTCCTCTCCGCGCGCTGCGCTCGCCCACCGCCCATTCGCCGTTGGTCGTCCATCGCTCGCTCTCGTCGCGCGCCAGCCACGACGCAGCGGCGCCGGGAGTCCATCGCCCGCCGCAGCCCGACAGCCACGCGCTCGCGGCCAGCCCGTCGCCCTCCCACGGCGCGGCGCACAGCGACGGCATCGACACCGACGCCGCACTCCGCCGCATCGACGCGCACCCCCCCGCCACCCCGACCCCCGCGCCCGACTCCGCCGCTGGCCCGCGAATCCCCGCCATTCCCCACTGGCGCTCTCCAGTGAGCCCGTCCGCGACGTCCGCCGCATCCTCGTCGAGCGTGCGCAGCGGCGAGGGGGAGGGGCAGGGCGAGAGCAACGGCGAGCGGTGGTGCGACAAGGGCGTGAAGAGGCTGAGGGGCGAGGAGGACGAGGAGGGCAGGGTCATGGGGGACGACGACGGGGAGCGCGCGACGCACGCGGATGCAGCGCGCGCTGTGGCGTGTTGCGCAGCCGCGCCGTCCGCAGCTCCTCTGCACCCCTCAACGCGCGCCCGCCCGCCACTCCCCGCGTCCACCCACGACCCCATCGCTGCTCGCCTCGCCGCCCGCCACCAGCACGCGCATCCGTCGATGAATTCCCCTCGATGACTCGTTCCGTACAAGCACGACTCGAAACCCTAATGCAACACACAGGCTTCTAGAATAGACTGATTCCAATCCGAGGTTTCGCTCTAAGGTTGACACCTGCAGTAGCCCACCTTCTTGCTGTTGATTGGTTCCAGGCCAACACTTGAGAGTCTGAGGTCCCCGGATTCCAGCCCTGAAATTCACGGGAAGTTGCCTTTTCCAACCCTTTAAAGCTGCAGTCTACATACTAAAATGGGTTTTGGGGGGTAATCTAGGTGCACACCCTTTCGCGTTTGTTGATTGTAGAGCGAAGTGTATTCTTTCCCAAAACACCTGTGCGAGGACTTCGCACCCCGCTGACGAGCGCAGTCAATTTCGTGAGTGAGTTCGCTTTGGGGGGCCCAAATCCGCGGAAAGGCGGAGATTTCTGCGCAGAACACAAACAACCAAGCGGAAATTTCTGCGCCCACCCCCCTCCTTCCTTCCGCATCGATTGTTCGTTTCTCCGGCGGAACAGTGCTACCCTGTTTTCAAGTGATAAACCAGGGCCTGTCCCTCGAAGTATGTAGATCGCAGCTTTAAAGTTGCGGTATACATTTGGCAGGGCCAGTGCCAAAAGTGTATAAGGGCGCGTCATTTTCATTTCATTTTTGCTCAATACCCATCCCGACCAATCTGGAAACTGATTTGACCGTTGTAGAACGCGAGAAATCTCACTAAGCTGCACTCAAAAGAACGAAAAAGACCCGCCCTAAAAGGTACATGGTGGTTACCGAATTACAAGCCCACCCAACCTCTCTCTCGAGAAACGAGGGGCTCCCAACTCCACCCAGCTCACTCGACTGTCGAAAGTTTATAGATGGCAAAAGTATACTAATTCGTTTCCCCCATGGGAGCTCACTCACGTAGCGTTCTTAGCGTGCGCTACTAGAACAATCCTACCCACACCGTTGAAATTCGGAGCTTAGGGTTACGTCGTACACCGAAGATTGTGCCGGCGCCAGCGTTAGCCGAATACGCATTCATTCGTCCGTCGCCGCTGCGTCGCCATGTAGCTTCACCGCACTATACGTAGAAATCTCGTTGCCTCCCTATGTCAGAACATTATAACTTACTTATTTGTGTAGGCTATAGTGGGGTATCCCATAGGGGGTACAACCCAATTAGGGTTTCCTATTTGTACTCACTTCGTTGATAGTCATTCCATTCTCGTTCTATTCTTCTCATGGTATCGAGCAGGTTCCCCGGTGGGAACTGTGCTTAGGGCCCACCACTACTTCGAACCTTTTTTTTTTTACCCGGAGCGCGCTCCGGGATCTCTCTCTTACCTCTGTCGACCGGCCCTTAGCCGCCCGCGCGCCGCCCGTTCAGGCCTCACGCCGCCAGTGCGCCACCCTAGATGCTAGCGCGCCGCCCGTCCCGGCCCCGTGCAGCCCGCGCGCCGCCCTTAGCAGCCCGCGCGCCGCCCTTAGCAGCCCGCGCGCCGCCCTTACCAGCCCGCGCGCCGCCCTAAGCAGCCCGGGCGCCGCTCGCCCGGCCCCAGGCCGCCCATGCGCCGTCCGCGCGCCGCCCTTAGCCGCCCGCGCGCCTCCCGCCAGGCCTCAGGCCGCCCACGCTCCGCCCGCGCGCCGTTCTTAACCGCCCACGTGCCGCCCGTGCGCCGCCCTTAGCCGCCCGAAGCGCAGCCCGTGAGCCGCCTGTGAGCCGCCCGTGAGCCGCCCGTGCGCCGCCCGTAGCAGCCCGAAGCGCCGCCTGTGAGCCGCCCGTGAGCCGCCCGTGAGCCGCCCGTGAGCCGCCCGTGAGCCGCCCGTGAGCCGCCCGTGAGCCACCCGTCAGCCCCCCGTGAGCCGCCCGTGAGCCGCCCGTGAGCCGCCCGTCCCGGCCCCGAGCCACCCGTGAACCGCCCGTGAGCCGCCTGTGCGCCGCCCGTGAACCGCCCGTCCCGGCCCCGAGCCACCCGTGAGCCGCCCACCCCGGTCCCGCTCCCAGCCGCCCTCGCGCCACGCTGTCCCGGCCCTTCGACGCCCGAGCCGCCCGTGCCACCCGCGTCACCCGAGCCGCCCGAGCCGCCTACGCAGCTGAGGAGCCGAGCTGCCCGAGCCACATTTGCCGCCCGAGCCGCCCGAGCCGCCTGTACCGCCGAGCGCCCGAGCCGCCCGAGCCGCCCGAGCCGCCCGAGCCGCCTGAGGAGCCGAGCTGCTGGTCCTATGGGGCTGCTGTTGCTACTGGGCCGGCAGAACTGCTGTGTTGCCGTGTTGCTGTGCTGCTGAGCTGCCCGACCCGTCTTGTCTGGTGAGCACAGCTCCACTGCTACTGCGTACCCCTTCCCGCACTGCTTGCACTGCTAGTCTGTCGTCATGGCTACCCCTAGTGTCCTACCTTTTGACGCTGAGGGTCGCGCCATTGACTTCGAGGTCTGGGTCGACGACCTGCAGCTGTTCTTACAGTGCGATAGGGCAGACGGTCTTTCTCTCTTTGACCTCACCTCTGGCGCCGTCCCTGCCCCTGCTGCTGATGCTGACGCCACTGTTCGCTCACAGTGGGCCACGCGCGATGCTGCTGCACGTCTTGCTGTGCGTCGCCACCTGCCTACCGCTGAGCGCGCGCACTTTAGCCAGTACAAGAGTGCCCAGACCTTGTATGACGCTGTAGTTGCGCGCTACTCCTCCCCTGCCACTGCTGCACTGAGCCGCCTCATGCTCCCCTTCCTCTTCCCTGACCTTGCCGCCTTTCCCACTGTCGCTGATCTCATTACGCACCTCCGCACTAGTGACACTCGCTACCGCGCTGCGCTTCCTGCTGACTTCTGCGCCAAGAATCCCCCCCCCATGTACATCACTATCTACTTTTTAGTCAATCGCCTCCCTGACTCCCTTCGTGTAGTCCGGGACCACTTCCTCGCGGTCTGTCCCACCACCCTCACAGTCGACAGCCTCAAGAAGGCCCTCCTAGCGGCGGAGAAGAGCATAGTCGCTATAGGAGCCTCTCGAGGTGACCCCCGCGCCCCCATCTTTGAGGGGTGTTCTCCTTCCCCTCTCCTGCCCTCTGTTGCCTCTACCGCTGCGGCCGACCTCGTTGGTCTTGAGTTGGTCGGTGCGGCGTCTGCCCCTAGCGGGAGACGCCGCTCTGGCAAGGGCAAGGGGGGCAAGGAGCGGGTGGTGCCAGCGGGGGCGGCGGAGGTGGAGGTGGAGGCGGCGGAGGGAGTGGGGGTGGTGGTGGAGGGGCTGGCGGGGGTGGGGGTGCTAGTGGCGGCAGTGGAGGCGGGGGTAGCGGCGGCGGTGGTGGTGGGAGCGGAGGTGGCGGAGGCGGCGGCGGTGCAGGCGGAGGCAGGGGCGGTGGAGGCGGAGGCGGGGGTGGCGGTGGTGGAGGTGGTCGGAGTGGCACTTCGCAGCGGAGCAGCACTGGGGGTGGTCAGCGCCAGCAGCAGTAGCAGCAGCGTTCTCGCGACATCCCCACCCCTCAGCAGCTCCGTGAGTGGTACACGCAGCGTTAGCGTGGTGGGGGTTTTGGTCCCTGCACCTACGTTCTTCGCACTGGCGACCGCGCTGGAGAGCAGTGTGGGGGTACCCACACCGCCCAGCGCTGCTTTGGCCGCTTGACGGACGCTTGGCGCCAGCAGTTCCCGGAGGCTGCGGAGATCCTCCGCTGGGGAGAGCTGTCTAGGGCTGGTGTAGCTATCTTTGATCTTGACTTTGATGCTATCCTTGCTGCCATGTATGCTGTGACCATTAGTGATGAGGGTGACTGTTACCGGTGTTTCCCGCCCGACCCGGGCATTGGTACTGCTGCTCTAGGTGCCAGTGCGTCTGTGCTCTCAAGTACTGGTGAGGCTGCTCTCTCAGGTACTAGTGAGTCTGCGCTCTCAGGTACTGCTTCGGCTTCGGCCTCCCACACCTTCACCCTTGACTCTGGAGCGTCTCGCTCCTTCTTTCGGGACCGCACCACCCTCACGCCGCTTAGTCGGCCGGTTGCGGTGTCCCTGGTTGACCCCTCTGGGGGTCCTGTTCTGTCTCGCTTCTCCACAGTCCTCCCGTGTCCGGCGGCTCCCTCTGGCACCCTGTCTGGTCTCTACCTCCCCTCGTTCTCTACGAACTTGGTGAGTGGTGCTGACCTACAGGATGCGGGAGTCCACCAGTTCACCCCTGCTCGTCAGCGAGTGACGCACTGCACAGAGGCTAGCACAGGTCGTCACCTGGCTACGTTTACACGTCAGCCAGGGTCGAGCCTGTACACACTGACCACTGCTTCTCCTCCAGTTCCTGAGTCTGGTAGGGTCCCCTCGTCAGGTCAGGTGTTTGCTACAGCGTCCAGGTCTGGTCCTGAGTCTGCCCCCTGTTCGTGTCGTCGCCTGTCTCACGAGACTCTCCTCTGGCACCACCGCCTGGGTCACCCCTCTCTACTTCGGCTCAAAGGCATGGCCTCCCGTCTTCTTGTGTCTGGTCTTCCCCGGTCCCTCCCTCCCCTTCCTCAGGGCCCTGGCCCTGCCTGTGTCCCCTGTGTCGAGGGGCGCCAACGTGCTGCCCCTCACTCCTCCCAGTTTCCTCCGACGGAGGCTCCGTTGCAGACGCTTCACATGGACGTGTGGGGCCCTGCCCGCGTCCATGGACTCGGTCACGAGCGCTACTTCCTGTTGGTGGTTGACGACTACTCGCGTTACACCACAGTCTTCCCCTTGCGCAGCAAGGGTGATGTCACTGAGGTGCTGATCGACTGGATCCGCGCAGCTCGTCTCCGGCTCAGGCAGAGATTTGGCTCGGACTTTCCTGTGTTGTGTCTGCACTCGGACAGGGGCGGAGAGTTCTCCTCTTGCCTTCTGCGTGCCTACTGTCGTGCGCGAGGCATCCGTCAGACCTTCTCGCTTCCGGACTCACCGCAGCAAAATGGGATTGCAGAGCGCCGCATTGGCATGGTCATGGACGTCGCTCGTACGTCCATGATGCATGCGGCTGCCCCCCATTTT